GCACCCGCCATTCCCGACTCGATTGCGGCTTCACGTACTGGGGTTCCAAGTTCCAACTATCCCTCGCTTGCTCATCCGGATCTGGGGAATTTTTGCAGGTTCGCGAACCCCTCCGACCTCGCCCCCTCCCGTCCCGTCCCATGGCGACGGGGGAGACCGAGCGAGGCTCCTCCGACGGCCTCCCCGAGGACATGATCCCGGAGATCCTCGCCCGCCTGCCGCCCAAGCACCTCCTCCGCTCCCGCGCCGCCTGCAAGGCCTGGCGCGACCTCGCCACCGACCCCGCCTTCATCCGCAGGCACCACTCCTTCCAGCCACGGCAGGCCCTCGTCTTCACCTACGGCGTCGGCGGCTGCCTCCAGGCCGTCGACCTCGCCACCAACAAGCGCCGGACGGTCCTGCGGGTCATCCAGAGGGTGCCCCCGCCCCGCCCCTTCGCCGACGGCGCACTCATGGTCCACGGCTCGTGCGACGGCCTGCTCCTCCTCAGCTTCCACAGGTCCTTCTTCGTCTGCAACCCTGCCACGCGCCAAGGCGCCCGCCTGCCGCTGCTGCTTCAGGATGGCCGAGATGTCCTGGGGTTCTACCAGCACGCCGCTTCCGGGGAGTACCGGGTGCTGTACCACGAGGCTGGGGGCCTGGGCCTCCAGATGTCGCACACCTACTACGTCCTCACGGTGGGATCCCCGCAGGCCAGGAGCATCGACCTTCGCACGTCGTCGGCTGAAGTGGGCGCCGGGCTGATGGGAGGGCTGGAGCGCTCTTGCACATCGCCGCCCGTCCTTCTCCATGGCAGCCTGCACTGGTCGCCGCAACTGAGCCAAGGGGGCCACATACTGGTGTTCGACCAGGCTGCTGAGTCATTCAGGCGGATCTCTCCTCCCGCGCAGGCGATGCTGACCAAGGACGACCACACGCAGCTGTTTGAGATGGAGGGCAAGCTTGCCATGTTCTGCTCGCCCCAATTCGCAAAGAACTTGGCGGTTTGGTTCATGGATGACTACAAGGAGATGCGCTGGGTCCGGAAGTACTGGGTTAAGCTGTCCTTCAAGCTTGCTTATCAACCTATACCGTTGCCACCTTGTCCGATTGTCCTGTACCAGGAGGGGGATATGCTGGTGCCGGACGAAGTCTCTGACAAGGTGTTGCATTGTGATAAGACGGGTAAATCGCTGGGGCCTGTTGACTGCTCTGCTGGGGGCACCAGAGTTACTCCACATATGCTCAAAGAAAGCCTTGTCCTCCATGACTTCCTTCAGACGCAGCGGAATGATGGTGCCTGTGAATGGTTCTCCGAGGTCGAGTTCGCTGATGGCTCGGATACTGCAATCGCTGGTGATGAAACCCAAACTGATTAGCTTCTTCTGATCAGTTTGACCTATTTGAACAGTTTGCCCCATTCATGATTCGCGCAGCGGTTACAGAGGTTCACAGATATTGATTCCTTCTTTCTCTTTTAATACGACAGCAGGGGTTTCTTGTAGTCTGTGCAATTATCTCGTGTTATGTCTCAGTACAATGTATGTTGGATATTGCATGTTTTCCATAACATGGATTTTGAACGAATTGGATGTGTTCTGAACATGATTTCGAATGGCTTGGGCATCATATCGGATGATATACCTGCATGTCATGATTGTTGTTATCGAACTTGTTTGTGATACGGATACCGTTGCTATGTACTGTTTTCACTGCTGGAATTTAGGGTATCATAATTATGCTCTGAAGTATTTTTTTAGTGGTTGCAGTTGTAGATTTTGATCTGGAGCCGATGCTACTATGTTGTTTTTGTACTATTGTTGAGGTGATTGTTCTATAAGCTGCTCCTAATTGTGTCTACCGTTAGTGTTACATTCGGAGAAAAGCATATATGCACCTTGTTGATTACATGGTGGTTATTCATCTTCTATATTTTTGAATTTTTGTCTGGTGAGTTATCTTGCTGATGTTTGCACCAGATTCATTCATGCTTTGTTGGCATCGTAGGCATTGTTGAAAACTGAACACTGTCATGCATGAAAATTGTGTTGTATGAAAAGATTTTAGGCATGTTGACTGCAATAGACAAAAGAACATTAGTTATGGTACTCCCTCCGTCCGGAAATACTTGTCATCAAAATGGATAAACGGAGATGTATCTAGACATATTTTAGTTCTAGATACATCCCTATTTATACATTTTGATGACAAGTATTTTCGGACGGAGGGAGTAGTATTTACTTACAGCTGAGAACATAGAAGTATTATATTGTGTTCAATGATCAGTAGCTTAGTGCTGGATTTGGAGAAAGATCGCTATACATTTGGAAGTGATGCCCAACTGTTGAACTTAAACTGTTGCTTACATAATGCCGTGCATCTTCGCACCATTGATGTAGTTACTAGTTACAGTGGAGTGGAACTGTGGCAGTGTTACATACCATGAGTCCATGACTAGTATTCATGAACTGGAATATGGGGTTGTTATCTTAAACTATAACTCCTTGGACTCAAATCTTAACACATTTTTGGGAAATGATGATGGTGAGTTCTATTATGCTTCAGTACACTATATGTTGGAAATTACAAAATTTCCATTGCATGAATTGTGAACGAATTGCATGTGGTCTGGACATGGTTTCGAAAGGCTTGTGCATCATATTGGATGGTTGCAGGCCATGATGGCTTTTATTGAACTTGTTTCTGGTATGAAAAGATTTTAGGCATGTTGACTGCAATATCCAAAAGAACATTAGTTATGGTAGTATTTACTTACAGCTGAGAACATAGTAACTATTATATAATCATTATTGCTATGTACTGTTTTCGTTGCCGGAATTTAGGGTATCATCATTATGCTCTGAAGAAAAAAAAATCAGTCGTGCAGTGTTGTTTTTGTCTCATTGTTGAGGTGATTGTCCTATAAGCTGCTCCTAATTTTGTGTACCGTTAGTGTTATATGCAGAGAAAGGCATATACGCTCCTTCTTGACCACATGTTGGTGATTCATCTTCTATAGTTTTGATTTTTTTTTGTATGCCGAGTTATCTTGCTGATGTTTGCACCAGATTCATTCATGCATTGTTGGCATCATAGGCATTGTTGAAAACTGAACACTGGCATGCATGAAAGTTGTCTTGTATGAAAAGATTTCAGGCATGTTGACTGCAGTTTGCAAAAGAACAATAGTAATGGTAGTATCTACTTACAGCTGAGAACATAGTACTCCCTCTGTATCAAAATATAAGACGTTTTTTGATACAAAGAGAGTATCAAAAAACGTTTTATATTTTGATACAAAGGGAGTATTATATTGTGTTCAATGATCAGTAGCTTAGTGCTGGATTTGGAGAAATGCCGCTATGCATTTGGAAGTGATGCCCTAACTGTTGAACTTAACTTGTTGCTTCCATAATGCCATGCATCTTCACACCATTGATGTACTCCGTAGTTACTAGTTACAGTGGAGTGAAATTGTGGCAGTGTTACTTACCATGACTAGTATTCATGCACTGGAATATCGAGTTGTTATCTTAAATTGTAACTCCTTGGACTCAAATCTGAACACATTTTCGGATATGTTGATGGAGACTATTAGTATATTGCGTGTGTTTCAGAGTCGTTTGAGTCAAAATACGAATTTGGCATGAGGGAAGCTAGAGGCCAACTCTGCCAGCACAGTGCCTGGACGATGTCGAGCTTTGGATTTTGATCTCATGGCTGTGAAGGAAAGCATGGTTGAATTTTTGTTCTTTTCAGAGGATTTTTGTCTGTAATGTGAGTTTGATTTGATGATTTGATCACATGCCGTAGCTTGTCTGTGCTGCTAGTGTTTTTAACTCTTGATTATTTTTTTGGTCTTCATGTTTTCCATGATGGATCAGTTGATCAATAAAAATATATTTCTACAATGGATTTAAACTTTCTTACTATGCTTTTTTCCCTTGCAAAAACTTTGTACTTCATGAGAATGGTGCTTTCACTTAAGAAATGAATATTCTTTTGCAATATGTAATGATATAAACGGTTGTGAGGGTCCATTTGTTAGAAAGATCAAATGGATGGCCGATGTTAAGGTACATGTATGAAGATCTTGCGGCTGAAATCTGTCGATGGCCTATGCTAAAGTACACGATGTCTATTGAGAACCGAAACAGTGGTACATTCTCCTTCCTGTGAGGTTAAGGGTTTTTCCTAACCAAGGGATTTCTTAACCGAAATAGTGGTAGGATTATTTTTTCTAATTCGTGAACATGTGTGTTGAAATAGATGAAACCAACAGGGATATGTTTAGTTCTAATAAAACAGTGACCATATATATATTTGGAAATGCTAAAAAACTGACGTTAGACTTTTGAGCATGGCAAACAAAATGTTTTTTTATGATAAATTATGTGTCGCGAGCATTTTTAAGCATGAAAAATCAAACGTTTTTTAGGCGGATTACACTCAATTTGCCATAAAAAATGTTTGGTTTGCCATGCTTAATAAGCTGACGTCCTTCATCCGTGCTTCGATGGTGCTTCGGTGGGCTGGCTTGGTGATTTAGCATGACTTAATTTCCATGCCAAAAGCTTATACGCTAAATAATCCGAAGGAGGAGTACATTTCCCCTTTCCCTTTATATATTGACGGTTATTGTGTGTTTGGATTGTGTCCTCGTTGAAAAATGCCTGGCCTGGAGCGTGCCTGAAAAGTGCCTGGCTTGTGTTTGGTTGCTACCCTGGAGAATTCTCTTTTTTAGGAAATTCGCTAGGTTGCTTAAGAAAACAAAGAACTACTCTCACCGGCCCCGACCTCGACCTCGACCCCACTCTTCTGCTTCCCCAGGTCTTCCAATCCACCAGCCTCTCCGCCGCGAAACCCTAGCCCCCCTGAGCCACCCCCCGTCGAGGCCGCTGGCGGATGGCGAAGGCGTGACCGGCGCGGAGAGCACCCCGTTCCCGCCCTCAGCCCCGCATCTGATGTTCCTCTCCCGCATCGTCCTGCGCGACCTGGACTCCATCGACTCCCCCGCCTCCATGGCGACCTCCAAGAAGGTAGTGACGCGCGACGAGTGGGAGCGCAAGCTCCGCGACGTCAAGATCCGCAAGGAGGACATGAACCGCCTCGTCATGAACTTCCTCGTCACCGAGGGCTTCGTCGACGCCGCCGACAAGTTCCGCGTCGAGTCCGGCACCCAACGTACCGTCCCACGAGTCGAGAATCATTCATCTCTCGTGATGCTCGGGGTATGTGGACACTGAATCGGCGTTTCTGCGGTTTTGTTTGCAGCGGACATCGACCTGGCCACCATCACGGATCGGATGGAGGTGAAAAAGGCGGTTCAGTCAGGGAATGTCCAGGAGGCAATCGAGAAGATCAACGATCTTAACCCCACGGTTCGGTTCTGTCGCCTCGCAATTTTAGTTTGGATTTGGAAATTGGACTGTCAGGAAAGTTAGGATGGATGAGGACGATAATGGTCCTGCTGTCCTGATATTTCGCTGTATATATGAGGACCTTGTGGTAGCTGACAATGCGAACAATATGGAAATATGCCAGGCAATTTGAATTAACTAATATATTTTGAACTAGAAACTTATTGCTCTTCAGATTACCAGTCTTTGTTTGGATTTTTGGATACAACTAATTGTACAAAGAAGAGAAGGGAGCTTCCAACTGAACGGATTGCACAATTTTCTCATATAACCCTAAAACTGTATGCCAGTTTCATGGTTGGAACTTAGAACCTGGTACTTTAACAACAACAACAACAACAAAGCCTTTAGTCCCAAACAAGTCGGGGTAGGCTAGAGGTGAAACCCACAAGATCTCGCAACCAACTCATGGCTCTGGCACATGGATATCAAGCTTCCACGCACCCCTGTCCATAGCTAGCTCTTTGGTGATACTCCAATCCTTCAGGTCTCTCTTAACGGACTCCTCCCATGTCAAATTCGGTCTAGCCCGCCCCCTCTTGACACTTTCCGCACGTTTTAGCCGTCCGCTATGCACTGGAGCTTCTGGAGGCCTGCGCTGAATATGCCCAAACCATCTCAGACGATGTTGGACAAGCTTCTCTTCAATTGGTGCTACCCCAACTCTATCTCGTATATCATCATTCCGGACTCGATCCTTCCTCGTGTGGCCACACATCCATCTCAACATACACATCTCAGCCACACCTAACTGTTAAACATGTCGCCTTTTAGTCGGCTAACACTCAGCGCCAACATTGCGGGTCGAACCGCTGTCCTGTAGAAGTTGCCTTTTAGCTTTTGTGGCACTCTCTTGCCACAGAGAATGCCAGAAGCTTGGCGCCACTTCATCCATCCGACTTTGATTCGATAGTTGACATCTTCATCAATACCCCCATCCTCCTGCAGCATTGACCCCAAATATCAAAAGGTGTCCTTCCGAGGTACCATCTGGCCATTAAGGCTAACCTCCTCCTCCTCACACCTACTAGTACTGAAACCGCACATCATGTACTTGGTTTTAGTTCTACTAAGCCTAAACCCTTTCAATTCCAAGGTTTGTCTCCATAACTCTAACTTCCTATTTACCCCCGTCCGACTATCGTCAACTAGCACCATATCATCCGCAAAGAGCATACACCATGGTTTATCTCCTTGTATATCCCTTGTGACCTCATCCATCACCAATGCAAAAAGATAAGGGCTCAAAGCCGACCCCTGATGCAGTCCTATCTTAATCGGGAAGTCATCAGTGTCGACATCATTTGTTCGAACACTTGTCACAACATTATCGTACATGTCCTTATGAGAGTAATGTACTTTGCTAGGACTTTGTGTTTCTCCAAGGCCCACCACATGACATTCTGCGGTATCTTATCATAGGCCTTCTCCAAGTCAATGAACACCATATGCAAGTCCTTCTTTTGCTCCCTATATCTCTCCATAAGTTGTCGTACCAAGAAAATGGCTTCCATGGTCGACCTCCCAGGCATGAAACCAAACTGATTTTTGGTCACGCTTGTCATTCTTCTTAAGCGGTGCCCAATGACTCTCTCCCATAGCTTCATTGTATGGCTCATCAGCTTAATTCCACGGTAATTAGTACAACTCTGAACATCCTCCTTGTTCTTGAAGATTGGTACTAATATACTCCGTCTCCATTCTTCTAGCATCTTGTTTGCCCGAAAAATGAGGTTGAAAAGCTTGGTTAGCCATAGTATCGCTATGTCCCCAAGACCTTTCCACACCTCAATGGGGATACAATCAGGGCCCATCGCCTTGCCTCCTGTCATCCTTTTTAAAGCCTCCTTGACCTCAGACTCCTGGATTCGCCGCACAAAACGCATGCTGGTCTCATCAAAGGAGTCGTCCAGTTCAATGGTAGAACTCTCATTCTCCCCATTGAACAACTTGTCAAAGTACTCCCGCCATCTATGCTTAATCTCCTCGTCCTTCACCAAGAGTTGGCCTGCTTCGTCCTTGATGCATTTGACTTGGCCAATATCCCTCGTCTTCCTCTCTCGGATCTTGGCCATCTTATAGATGTCCCTTTCGCCTTCCTTCGTGCCTAACCGTTGTAGAGGTCCTCATATGCCCGACCCCTTGCTTCACTAACAGCTCGCTTTGCGGCCTTCTTTGCCATCTTGTACTTCTCTATGTTGTCTGCACTCTATCCAAGTATAGGCGTCTGAAGCAATCTTTCTTCTCTTTAATCGCCTTGTGGACATCATCATTCCACCACCAAGTATCCTTATCTTCGCTTCTCCTTCCCCTGGACACTCCAAACTCCTCCGAGGCCACCTTACGAATGCAAGTCGCCATCTTCATCCACACATTGTCCGCATCCCCTCCTTCCTCCCAAGGGCCCTCCTTAATGACCCTCTCCTTG